TCAGGTGGTATCAAACGGCTTTAATTCGACAGTGTAGATGCATTGTTTCGCCTACGATTTCTCCCTCCAAGGGATCCGTTGTGTATACAAAGGCTGGGGATGTGTGAAAATGGGCATTAGGTCAGATATTTGGGGGCTATAACCCACATAACCACCACCATGCAAAATGGAGGAACATTAGAAACAAATCTTTGTTCGAATGTGGGGAGCGGGGTGAGCTCCTGCTGTTAGCCCCAGCTCTTGTCTACCTAGCAGTTCGAAAACATGCTAATGTGAGTAGATCAATAGGTATGGCAGAGAAAGGCACAAGACCTTGTAAAACTACAACTCCCAGGATTCCATAGCACCTCCTTCCAGGAGACTGGGCAAGGAAGTGTTTTCTGCTGGCACTTGCTATAACTGCAAATAGGAGTGCCTCTGGGCATGTGCAATGTGCCTCCCTATTGATTATGAGCATTTAGGGCAGGCATGGACAAACTTGGACCCTCAAGGTGTTTTGGACTTCTGGCGGGAAGGTAACGGCGCTCCATGCAGTCATGCCGGCCATGTGGCCTTGGAGGTGTCTATGGACAACGCCAGCTCTTCAGCTTAGAAATTGAGATGAGCACCAACCCCCAGAGTCGGACACGACTGAACTTAATGTCAGGGGAAAACCTTTACCTTAAGGCAGTGTTTCTCAACCTGGGGGTCGGGACCCCTGAGGGGATCGTGAGGGGTGTCAAAGGGGTCGCCGAAGACCATCAGAAAACATTGTATTTTCTGTTGGTCATGGGGATTCCATGTGGAAAGTCTGACCCAATTCTATTGTTGGTCAATTTCAGAATGCTCTTTGATTGTAGGTGAACTATGAATTACAACTACTACAACTCCCAAATGTTAAGGTCTATTTTCCCCAGACTCCACCAGTGTTCACATTTGGGCATATTGAGTATTCATGCCAAGCTTGGTCCAGATCTATCATTGCATGAATCTACAGCACTCCCCTAGATATAGGTGAACTACAACTCCCAAACTCAAGGTGAATGCCCACCAAACCCTTCCAGTGTTTTCTGTTGGTCATGGGAGTTCTGTGTGTCAAGTTTGGTTCAAAGCCATCGCTGGTGGACTTCAGAATGCTCTTTGATTATAGGTGAACTATAAATCCCACCAACTACAACTCCCAAATTGCAAAATCAATACCCCCCAACCCCACCTGTACTCAAATTTGGGCGTATCCGGTATTTGTGCCAAATTTGGCCCAGTGAATGAAAATACATCCTGCATATCAGATATTTACATGACGATTCATAACAGGAGCAAAATTACAGTTATGAAGTAGCAGCGGAAATAATTTTATGGTTGGGGGGTCGCCACAAAATGAGGAATTGTATTAAGGGGTCGTGGCATTAGTAAGGTTGAGAAACACTGCCTTACATGCTGCTGTGGGAGGAATTTGGCCTACTAAAAACCAAACATAAACATCCATAGGCTCCAGTACATTTCACACCTTGCTTTGGCCACGTTCCTGTGTAGGGAGCATCTACACTTAGAAGTAATGCAGTTTCACTCTACTTGAACTGCCATGGCTCCATGCTATGGAATCCAGGGATTGTAGTTTGTGAGGCAGCAGCACTCATTGGCAGAGAAAGGCACAAGACCCTGTAAAACTACAACTCCCAGGATTCCATAGCACCTCCTTCCAGGAGACTGGGCAAGGAAGTGTTTTCTGCTGGCACTTGCTATAGCTGTAAATAGGAGTGCCTCTGGGCATGTGCAACGTGCCTCCCTATTGATTATGAGCATTTAGGGCAGGCAGGCATGGGGAAACTTGGGCCCTCCAGGTGTTTTGAACTTCAACTCCCACAATTCCTAACAGCCTACTGGCTGTTAGGAATTGTGGGAGTTGAAGTCCAAAACACCTGGAGGGCCCAAGTTTGCCCATGCCTGGGTCAGACTCTCACCATTTAGCTATTATAAGTAACACTTTCCATAGATGCATCTGACTGCTGGTCTGTTAAAACAAGAAAAGAGGTTCTCTCACTTTTGTGTGTGTGTGAATGTACATTTTCCTTTCGATAAGTCCTGCCATGGGAAATCCATTCCCTTAATAAACTCCACCAAATAGTTTTCAAATCAGCAGTCCAGTTGTTGGCAAAATGGGCCACAGAATACTGCCAAGTGACGACATTGGCTTTTAGTGGAGGAGAATAGAGGGATGAAATATACCCTCCATTAAGTCAGGCTCAGCTGACCATGTCTCCAGACTGAAAGCAAAAAATATGTATTTATATAGATCTACCTACCCACTTAAGAATCTGTTGAAAGCTGAATAACCTGCGGATTTGTGAATAGCCATAGCATTGCATTAGCTGTTTAGATGGGGACACGAGTGTGAGATCATGCATTGCTTTTTTTTTTTTAAAGTACATTAAATTGAAAGAAATAATAGCAGGTTAGCAAGAACACTATAGCAAGAGGATGCTTTGTAGAACCATCATGAATTGTGTCTGCTGATAGCAGAAGAGTTCCTCATGATGGGATGGCATGCTGAAGTGTGATAACAAAAGTGAAAGGCAGAGGCCTCCATGCTTCCCTTGAAACACATGCTGTTTTATAATCAGGGAAGTAGTTGGATTTTCCCTTAGCAATTCTAAAGCCAGAATGCTATCAGAAATCCTGAAGAACCATTGTCAGACATAGTTAAAAGTATTGGATTCAATACACCAGTGGCCTAATTCGGCATTCGATGGCTTACTGTGTTCTTCTTGCCTTTTGTCTTTTGTCTAACAGCCTGTATAAAAGGTTGTTCACTAAGCAAAGCTATTCTGGCAGAGGAAGATAGGATTTCATGGAAGAGCTGCCAGTTTTGCTCTGGTTGTAGTTGGGCGATTCTTTTCCCTTCACATTATTCTGCAGTTGGAGCCCTCAATGGCACAATAGGTTAAACCTTTGTGCTGGCAAGACTGCTAATCGAAAGGTCGCAGTTTGAATCTGGGAAGTGGGGTGAGCTCCCATCTGTCAGCTCCAGCTTCCCATGCAGGGACATGTGAGAAGCCTCCCACAGGATGGTAAAACATCCGGGCATCCGCTGGGCAACGTCCTTGAGGACGGCCAATTCTCTCACAGCAGAAGCGACTTGCAGATTCTCAAGTTGCTTGTAACACGAAAAAAAGATGATAATAATAATAATAATAATAATAATCCTTTATTTATACTCCGCTAACATCTCCTGAAGGACTCAATGCGGCTTACAAGAGGCCGAGGCCCAACACATCAATAAAACAACAGCATAACAAATACAACAATAAATAAACTCATAAAACAAGCAATAAACATTAAAACAATAGCAATAAACATTAGACAATAACACCATGACACATTTAAAACTAAGGCAGTTTTGCAGTTTCAGGACTTGTAAGATCTGCCCTTTTCAGCCCTTTCTGTTGGTAGTAAACTATCAGCAAAACAATAGCAGTGTGGCTGTAAACACCTTCTTTTATTGTTATTGTATGTCTTCAGATCCAGATGGGTTTTGCCATTGTGGGGCCCAGTACATTCTTGGATAAGCAAGAATGTACCCTAGTGCAGTACTCAAACCACTACACCAGTGTTTCTCAACCTTCCTAATGCCACGGCCCCTTAATACAGTTCCTCATGTTGTGGTGACACCCAACCATAGCATTCTTTTCCTTGCTACTTCATAACTGTAATTTTGCTACTGTTATGAATCGTAATGTAAATATCTGGTATGCAGGATGTATTTTCATTCACTGGACCAAATTTGGCACAAATACCCGATACACACAAATTTTAATACTAGTGGGGTTTGGGGGGGGGGGGTGATTTTGTCATTTGGGAGTTGTAGTTGCTGGGATTTATAGTTAACCTACAATCAGAGAGCATTCTGATTTCCAACACAGATGGAATTAAACCAAACTTGACACACAGAATTCCCATGACCCACAGAAAATACTGAAGATTTTGGTGGGCATTGACCTTGCATTTTGGAGTTGTAGTTCACCTACATCCAGAGAGCACAGTGGACTCAAACAATGGTGGATCTGGACCAAATTAGGCACGGATACTCAGTATGACCAAATGTGAACACTGGTGGAGTCTGGGGAAAATAGACCTCGATATTTGGGAGTTGTAGTTGCTGGGATTTATAGCTCACCTGCAATCAAAGAGCATTCTGAACTACTGCAATAATATAACTGGCCAGACTTCCCACACAAAAAAATCCCTCCATGACTAACAGAAAATTTGGCGACCCTTCTGACACCCCCTCATGACCCCCCAGGGGTCCCGACCCCCCGGTTGAGAAACACTGCACTACATCATGCTGGCTCTAAAGGTGGGATACATATAATAATTATAACAACAACAAATGCTGGGCTTACAATTCAACATGTCCCTGTTCTGACTTATATACAAATTTAGCTTAAGAACCTGTTTTGTTTGTAACTTGAGGGTTGGCTGTACAAGGAAATACTTACTGTAAAATGCTTTGGGATGCTTACTATGAAAAACAGTACTAAAATGACTCAGTAAATAAATAAGATAAGGCAATGCTTGAGCTCCTTGCTAGTTTGTCCTAGTTTTCTAGCCCATCCTAGTTACTTGGGTCAAGAACCATAGCTTGGGAAAGATTGGGGTGATTTCTTTTGGTGGTGGAGAAACAGGGAGAAGAACTGAAAAATATCAGAACTCCATTTGGCCCCTACAGAAGACCTCAGGTCGAAATGCACCTGGCCTCTATCTAAATGAGGACTTGGGACTTTGGCCATCTACTTTCCCTGAATTATTGATTTATGCCTTGTGAACCTTCACCTGTATTGCAATTTGTAAGATTGGGCTGGTATTTTTTTAAAAAAGGTTTAAACTATTTTTAATTGCATAGATTAATTGTATATTTTGATTTTTGTTATCTGTAAGGCATTGTATTTATATCCCAGGTGTTTGTTTTTTATTGTTTTTGTGAGTTATGTTCTATATACATTGTTGTGTTTATTTCACCACAGTGTGGAAAGTCCAGTGAAGTCCCAGCATTCATCTGAACTCAAACAGGACTCAGACGCAATGTCTCAGCAGCTTCTCTATCGAGCTCTCGTGTCTGCTAAATGGGTGTCTGAAGCGATCAAGTCATCTCAGCCTGGGTTGGCTGTCCGACTCTTAGATGCCTCCTGGTATCTCCCCAAAATGAAGCGTGACCCCCGGATTGAGTTTGAAGAACGGCACATCCCTGGCGCTGCTTTCTTTGACATAGACCAGTGTAGCGACCGTGCATCGCCTTATGATCACATGCTCCCCACAGCAGGGGATTTTGCAGAGTATGTGAGCAAACTGGGTGTGAGTAATGACTCCCATGTTGTGGTGTATGATGCGAGTGATCAGGGCTTGTTTTCAGCCCCTCGTGTCTGGTGGATGTTCCGGGTTTTTGGGCATGATGCCGTTTCCCTCCTAGATGCGGGACTGAAAAACTGGCTGCGGGAAGGGTATCCAGTCAGCTCCGGAAAGAGCCGTTCTACTCCAGCTGATTTCCATGCCTCCCTGGATAAGTCAATGGTGAAGACCCACAAGGACATTAAGGAGAACATTGAGTCGCGGCACTTCCAGGTTGTCGATGCACGCGCTGCAGGGCGATTTAGAGGGGTGGAGCCTGAGCCCCGGGAAGGTAATACGTATCTCTAAGGATAAAAGAATTGGGCTAGTTTTGCTCAGTGGTTGTCGAAAAAGGATAGCATTCACCAGGAAGAAGAGAAGAAGCCTTAGGAATTTTTGTTCCTGGAATAACAGTTTATAAACATTTGTTGACAACTGCCATCATCTCCAGATAATCTGTGTTTGAAATGGTGGGAATTGTAGTCCAGCCGCATCCTGGAGCCAAAGTATTGGAAAGCCATTGCTCCAGGTGCATTTAAATTTAACTTACCAAATCTTCAAACCCAAATACTGTGATAATTACAAACATTTTTTGCAAAATGTTTGCTGATTTATGCTAGGTCTAAAACTATTATATGGAAAAAAATTACTTAGGGAAGGGAAACCAGTCAAAGGAACCTTTCCAAGTCCTGATTTACTTTTCTCCTCATGCACCAGCTATGAGGTTGCAGATTGGCATTGCTGAAATACTGTAAGGCTTGATTTCACAAGTAACTTGCCACTGTTCTTGTTTTCTACCATGAATTGGCTGATGATTTAAGATACAACCCTATATATGTATATTCATAAGTAAGCCCCAGTTATTACACATAGTGTGCAATCAGTGTGCAATTCTTCACAAGGATTGTGGTCAGTTTCAGTCATGTTTCCTCGCCTTAGTCACATCCCACTTAGACTACTGCAATGCTCTCTACATGGGATTGCCTTTGAAGATAGTTCAGAAGCTTCAAGTGGTTCAGAGATTGGGTTGTTGTAGGTTTTTCCGGGCTATATGGCCATATTCTGGAGGTAATTTTTCTCCTGACGTTTCGCCTGCATCTATGGCAAGCATCCTCAGAGGTTCAGAGATTGGCAACCAGATTACTAACTGGGACCCTGTATTGGGAGATATCCACTCCTATGTTACGTAAGCTCCACTGGCTGCCAATCCCCTTCCGGGTTAAATACAAAGTGCTGGTCATTATCTTTAAAGCCCCAAACAGCTCTAATCCAGGCTACTTGACCAACTGCATCTTCTCCTACAAGCCAGCTTGGGCATTGCGATCAGCAGGGGAGGCTCTGCTCTCATTTCCACCTCCATCTCAAGTATGGCTGGTGGGAATGAGAGAGAGGGCCTTTTCCGTGGTTGCCCCCCATCTCTGGAACTCCTTCCCTAAAGAAATAAAGCTGGCCCACTCCCTCCTCTCTTTCAAAAAGCAACTGAAGACTCACCTTTGCTCACTAGCATATGGAGAGTAGGAGGATTAGACAGTGAGAGATCACTACTGGACCTCTGGTTGAGAATTCTTTCGTATCCAGGCTCTGCTAGTCCATTTTAGCCCAATTATCATCACTGGCCACAAAACCACACTGGCCACAAAACCAACTCACATAAAGTTTTGAACGATAGTTGGCTTCTGTAGATCAATGTGAACTGTTTTATGTTCAGATTTTACATAATTATATAATTTTTGTTTGATTATGTTTGCTTTAATCAGTTGTTAGGTTCTAAATGTTGTTTTATATGTGGGATTTGGGGGTGATGGTGGTATTGATGTTGGTACTTGTTTTATGGAGGCATTGAATGTTTGCCGCTGGATGTTGGAATCCGCCCTGAGTCCCCCTGGAGAGATAGGGTGGAATATAAATAAAGTATTATTATTATTATTATTATTATTATTATTATTATTATTTATTAAATGCCTTTGTTTTCATTTTTTTCAGGTATTGAGCCTGGCCACATCCCTGGGTCAGTAAACATCCCATTCACTGATTTCCTAACTGAGGAGGGCTTAGAAAAGAGCCCTGAGACTATTCAGAGCTTGTTTCAGGAGAAGAAAGTGGATCTCTCTAAACCCCTCGTGGCCACTTGTGGTTCAGGTGTCACAGCATGCCACGTGGCACTGGGGGCATACTTGTGTGGAAAGCCTGACGTGGCCATTTATGATGGTGCTTGGGTGGAGTGGTTCATGAGGGCACGACCTGAGCACATCATCTCCGAGAGCAAGGGGAAGATCCAGTGAGACACAGTCATCAGCCTCGATTGAGGCAAAAACGTTGCCGTGACAATAGAAAGAGGACAGTCTTAAAAATGATTAAGATGTTCTGTTGTCAAGTTAACATTTTCTGTAATGAATGTGGGTGTTTTGTGGTCCCATTGTCTTGCCTACTTTTATGGGAAGGGATGGTGTCCCATCCCACAACACTTTGTTTAGGGTGGAGCAAAGCACTGGTTATGGGATGGCAAAACAAAAATATTTTGCTGTTGAATATGAGAATTTGGGGGAGGGGGTTCTGCTTCACTGGACACAGCACAGGAAAAGGACACATTTTGGGAATTAATTTTGCAATCTGTGGCAAATTATTTAATTTTTCCAGAGCTTGGAACAGTTAATTTTGGAGAGTATGATTGCCAGAATCCCCTAGCCACCATTAATTAGGGATTCTGTGATTTATAGTCCACAAACTAACATTTCCAAGCACTACATTTTCTTCCCTTCAATCATTTTTTTCATAGAATCTGAAATGAAATTTTTACTCATTTTTAAGAAACAATGTCAGATTACAAAGATCCTGTTTAAAATTAAAAGCAACTTTTAAAGTATTTGAAAATTTATTGTTTTATTACGGTTTGTGTGTTTTGATATGTTTCTCTTTCTGAAGTTGTCTACAGCAGCTGTTATGGTTAATAGAGATAAGCAGGCTTCTGGTGTGCCTGATCTGGTTTCTTATATTTGTGTTGGATTCCAGGCCTTGAAACACCTATGAACACTGCACCACACAGAAGGTTTTTTTTTTATAAAAAAAAAACATATAAGAAGCATATAAAATCAGGAATAAGAAAGAGATATATAATCCAAAAAGGTTAGCAAAAGATAACAACCAAATAATAATCCAAATATCTCATAAAGTTCCAGAGGTGACAGAGTCCAGGAAGAGCCAGGAATCACAGATACAGCATAAGTCCACAATCAGGAAAACATAACTAGTAAAACTTGAACAGGAACACATGAACAGGAACACATGAACAGGAACACATGAACAGGAACAGGGGTCCTCAAACTAAGGTCTGAGGGCAGGATATGGCCCTCCAAGGTCATTTATCCGACCCTCGCTCAGGGTCAACCTAAGTCTGAAACGACTTGAAAGCACATAACAACAACAACAATCCTATCTCATCAGCCAAAAGCAGGCCCACACTTCCCATTGAAATACTAATAAGTTTATATTTGTTAAAAATGTTCTTCATTTTAATTATTGTATTTAAGTGTTTTTTGCATTACAAATAAGATATGTGCAGTGTGCATAGGAATTTATTCATGTTTTTTTTCAAATGATAATCCGGCCCTCCAACAGTTTGAGGGACTGTGACCTGACCCTCTGTTTAAAAAGTTTGAGGACCGCTAAACAGGAACATAGAAAACTTCCAGGATATTAAACCCAAAACCAAAGCTTGACTTCAGCAAGGAACTAGAGAACTCAGGCTTAGCTTCTCACTCTTAACGCAACGTTGCCTGAACTGACCTTAAGGTAAACAACTTGTTGCTTAATAGACACCCATGAAATCATTCCTTTTCCTGGGAATTTCTTTTGCAACTTTCCCACATAATCTCTCCAAATGACACAATCTATTTTCAGCTCTGATTTGTGAATGAAGACCTTTGTTGATCTCCATAGCTGCAGGTGGGTTCCCATGGGAACCCTCCTAATCACTTAGCTCTTCCCTCGATTTCTTATCTGCTGTTGTTACTTCTGCCTCCCCGAATACCCTTGAGGTCCTGCACTTCCCAAGCCAATTTTCTCACAGAGAGAACCATCATTTCCCAGACTTGAGAACTCATCACTTTGTGCCACAGGAAAGCTCACAATCCTTTCTAAATCATTAGTTAAAACATCATCTGGTGGCTGATTTACAACAATCTAACCTAGTGGTGCTTGGTGCAAATGACATATGCCCAGGAATTTGTTTTCATTATCGGGACTGAAAGGAATTTAACCTTTCTTCCACATAAAGGCTGATATTCTAAATTACAATACAGCTCTTTGTTGGCTCTTGTTCCTTCAAGTTGTTTGTGATCTATAGTGACTCTTTGATGAACTTATTCCAGGGTTTTCTTGGTAAGATTTCTTCAGAAGAAGTTTTCTATTGTTTTTTCTGAGTTCAAAGGATTGACTTGTCCAGGATCGCTCTGTAGCCAAGCATGGATTTGAGCCCTGGTTTCCAAAGCTATAGTCTTAACACTCAAACCACTGCACTACATTGGCTCTCAGTATAGCTCTAGAGACACAATTTCATGCTTGCACAATTCCATGTTCCTCATTGTAGTCTGGCAGCTATAAAGCCAAGCTTGCTGGTGAGAGGTGGAAGGAAGGGAGGTGATTTAGAGCCTGACATAACAGTTGGACCCAGCTGGGCAGTAGGTAGAAATGAAAGTGCACCCATGGATCAAAACGCGCCTTCATTTTCCTTCCTCCAGGAACTGAATTGCTCTCCTATCACTAGACAGAACCAGCAGCTTCAGTTATGTGTGTTAAGATGGAACACAATGGCACAAGAACAGTCCTCGCCACTCTATCTGAAAAAGAGCGTACACACAAGCCGAACGTAGGCACACCTACATGTTACTAATAGTACACACCAACTTCTAATTGCTCCCATTTCCAAGTAGCCATGTTTCCCTATATATGTATATTCATAAGTAAGCCCCAGTTATTACACATAGTGTGCAATCAGTGTGCAATTCTTCACAAGGATTGTGGTCAGTTTCAGTCATGTTTCCTCGCCTTAGTCACATCCCACTTAGACTACTGCAATGCTCTCTACATGGGATTGCCTTTGAAGATAGTTCAGAAGGAGGGTATTTTTGTGTGTGCTGTTATGAAACAGATGAGTGCCTGAAATCCTCCTCCCCTTGCAAATGACACAGTTCAGTAAGTCAATTCTGATCTACTTTTTCTCCTTGTGCTTTGTAGGTCACAACTTGAATTCACATACTATCTGTGTCCTCCCATGGTGCAGTAAATACTAGAAAGACATCAGCCTTCTCCAGTCAAGCTGTGTGTATTTAGTTGCCCACATTTTATCCTCTCTTCTCCAAAAAAAGAAAAGAAAGGACCAATGGAGAACATTTTACCAATTCCAGAAATGAAATGATTACTTTTCTTAGGATTATAGTCCAGTAGATGCAATGAAAAAGTGATTGGGAGAGCAAAAGCAATTTCGGGGACTAGATTGGGTAGGGAATTACGGCACTTTCGGATTATGTTAGATTCCAGTTGCTAGCATCTCTTCTGATTAGGACTGCTGGGATTTGTTGGATTAAATTCATGGTTATAAAGTTCTGCAAATAGTAATTTCCATTCACCAGAGCGGTTTCTCAAAACACAATGATAGCTGATTCTTCTTTAACTGTCATGAATTTATCCTGTGAAAACCTGGGACTTTGTATTTTAGAGAGGTATTTCAAATTCTTAGAGAGCACTACCTCCCCCAACCCCCAAGAACTACAAATCTCTTTGTTCTAACTAAGGCAGATAAAGTAGAATCAAAGCATTATAATTTTGATTTACTAAACTGAAGCTTGGGCATGATGGAGAGGTATTCACCCACCTAATTTCTCGTCAATGCCTTCCTTTGTTTGGGGATGTGTGCAGCCTTTTTGCTCAATTTACCTGATAGCTGGTCTGTATGTATGTATGTATGTATGTATGTGTTTGTCTTGTCTTGTCTTGTCTTGTCTTGTCTTGTCTTACTTAACAGCTGAGTATGCCTTCCCTGTTTGGTACAAGTCTGCCCACACAAAGCAGGTGAATATAGCATTGAACGAAACATGCAGAATAATCACAGGATGTCTCAGACCTACACCTGCTGATAGACTCTATAAGTTAGCTTATAGCATTGCCCTCTCCACCCAATGGAGTGGAGACAGGAAGTTGCTGCTAACTGAGAGAAATAAGGTTGAGAACTGTGAAAGCCATTCACTGCAGGGTTATCAGCCTCCTCCTGGCTAAGAACCACAATTCCTCTTAATATTTCCCCAGTAACAGCAAGAATATCCCTTTGGGCACCAGGAAATCCCAATAGGATTTCCAGAAACCAGGAAATCCCAATAGGATGCTCTCCCACGAGGGTCTGCCCCCAGAGGCAAAGCAAGAATGGGCAACTTGGAAGTGCCTGAACAGACTCAGAAGTGGAATGGGCAGGTCAAAAGACAACCTGGCAAAATGGTACTACCTGGAAGAATCTGCCACCTTGTGTGACTGTGGAGCAGAACAAACAACTCAGCATCTGCAAGCTTGCCCACAATGCTCTGCCTCATGCACAGAGGAAGAATTGCTTAAAGCTACAGACAATATGGTCGGTGTTGCCCATTTTTGGTCTAACATTATTTAACTGCTTGTGCTTTCTCTATTTTATCAGTTTTATACTTATTTATGCAATGCTTTTGACACAAAATAAAAAATTAAAAAACCTGTCAGCTGGTAGATAGAAACTATTCCTCTTCCTCTCTCTCTTTTCACTGAAGCTCCAAAAATGTTCCAGCCAGCATGAGTAGTGGCCATTGGAGCTGTAATTTTAAAATGTACATTTCTTAACTCTGGCTGTGGTTTTCTTTCAAGATTCAATCGGTGAATGTATTTCTTCATCCTTCCTGTGAGGCATTTATAGGGGACGGGAGGAGAGTTGCCTCATGATTTTTCAGATCAGTTATAATCATTTCTCTGAAGCAGATCTGTTGCAATTTTTCCTACTTCCAGTGGCATAGTTACAAGAATATGCTTACCAAAGCTGCAAGTCTTTTATTTTAAAAGAGTGACCGTTTGGCCTTTGATGATACTGCGGTGACTATTCCAGGATAAGAGTTGCCAGTGCTCTTAAAATGCCAATATAGCTTAGATATATTTAAGTACAGCCCAGTTAATGGAGTAGAACCCAAAAAAGAAAATGGTATTGGGTATGAATTATACATCAATGCCGGGTACGTATATGAGATAATGCATGCTAAATTGGTTGAGCATGCTGTTACAGCTAAAAGGAATGATTTGGACACATACTTGATAGTCTTATCGGGATGTTAAGGCTCCTTTCTCTGTTTGGTTCATCTGCAGCAGAGTATGTTTAAAAGGTTTCATGCAGGGCCAAAAATAATAAGTAAAAGAAAGATGTGAATTAATCTTGAATTGACTAGCTCACCACAGGGATGTAATTCTTCACTATTTTTTTTTCTCAAATGGAAGAATGAATAATTTTAGTCATAGTTTTCTTGCATCTGCTAGAAATCCTTAAAAACAGTTTGGTTTTTGAAGGTCATTCACAATTCAGGTCTCATTCTGTACAAAATTTGCATGTGGTTGTTTTGAACTGAAAACAGCATTTTCTACATAGAACATAATATTTCTGTACCAGAAATATTATCTTCTGAGCAGAAAACACTCTTTTCATGCAAAATAACGTTCTTTGAATTTCATACAAGTTTAGTAGCATGCAAATATTCTTATTGTTGCACTCCAGGCCTGGAAACCCCTATGACCACTGCACCACACAAGAGTCCAGAAATATAAGCAAACAGTTTATTGTAGAGACACATAAAACATATAAAAATC